CACACACACACACACACACACACACACACACATGCCACCGTGGATGCATAAACAACACTCATATCAGCAAGAAGTGGATCAGCACGGCCCTCTATGGCTCTGTGGAGGTATAACAGTGGAACAGCAGAGGACGTTAAAGCAAACATTATGTACATCATGCCACAATATATGACATATGCTAATTATAAACAAGAAAACGAATTATCACAACTACTTCTTTACAATCTTTTTAATTGCTCGAAACCAGTCTCTGTCAGAGACGACTGGACACCATCGTGGGTGACGACAACAAATGCTCAACTTAATAGCTATGACAAATTATGATCAGCATTAAAAGGCAAATAACAAATACATGTGCAGATTAATTCTTCAAATGAATGTAAACAAAGAGGAATATAAGCACTGAGGATTTTAGTAGTAGTGTCAATGCTTGTACCACTCGCTTTAGATTTTTTACATTTCAGTTCCCATTCAATGTTTCTGCAGCAAATGTTTTTGGAGCATGTTTTACAAATCTGCAAGGACATAAACAAAAGGAGCTGCAGGAAGTGCTGGATTTATTCTCTAGTGAACAGTGACACCGTGTGGACATTTACAGAAGTTCCAAATCCAAGAATCGGGGATAAAACGAAGCAAAAACAATATAAAAAGGTTCACTCTGTATTATTCACAGAGAGATTACAATTTTCATGCAGCTACCACAGCAACGACAACAGGATCCAGTCTAAAATGAGTCTAATATAAAGAGTAGGACTGAAGCTAACTAGTCATTTTATCTGTACCAAAGTAATTCCTGATTTGAATCACAGATTTAAGAATTTTTTGGACTGTATTTCAAAAACTTATTTCTAGATAAGGTTTTTGTAAAAGTTGTGAATCTATTCAGTATCACAGAAAAGTTTCTTGATTTCTTCCTTTTGAGTCTGTAAACTAAATGGCTTAAAAGTTATTGCCACTGAGATGAATTTATTCTATTGAGATGAATATTGGCACGGGTTTTGCTCACGTACACACAACACACAGATATTTCTGGTTAGATGTCTGCTGCACATCAAGGTGTCAATTCTATCAAATTCTTTATATGAAAGTCACTCAGGTCACTACACATGCAAATGACTGTGGATTTAATGGAAGGAGAAGTGATGCTAATGACAGCACCGACAACCATGATGATGATGATGATGATGACACTCGACATGAATTAAAGAAGGCTCGCAGGAAGTGAGGGAGAGAGGACAGCTGATACAGATCTCCTGTCAGAATCATATAGAGGTGTCACAATAAGACAAATCTACCAGGAAAAAGTGATGTTGAATACAGGATTCTGTCATTTGTGTTTGTTCTAGGGCATTGTGTGGTGCGGAGATGCAGAAAGGAGGTGACCAACCAAGATACTGAGGTGATGGAAGACAACAAAACTACTAACCCAGTATCAGAATGGAGTCGTCCTTCTTGATGTGCGTTTCCAGAAGGTGCTTGATTTTGGAGAAGTCGCCCAACCAGTCGTAACACTGCTCCTTCTTGTATCGTTCATCCCAGTAGTCAACATCTTTGTACTGGGAGTTGTCGTCTGGCACCAAGTCCATGTTCTCTTTAACATAGAAATATCACTTAAATAGAAATGCAAATAGAATATGTTTCAGAATAAAAGACAAATTGCTTATGTTGTGGTTATATTTTCACCAGCACTGTTGCAGGAACCATCACGGTTCATATACCAAGAGCACCATGGAAACATCCATTACACATATTCAGGAGTCATCAGGTTTATTAACTGAAAAATGCTCACAACAAAAAGCTCATTAAAAGTGAACAGAAAACGGATCTGATCAACAATAAATCATTTGAAGTTAGAAGATCAACTTGCTCAAAACAGAGGTGATGAAAATGCAGGTGAAATGAAAAATACAGTGATAAATGACCAAGTGATTGAATTGATTTAAAGCCAATTTGACTAAAGCAGTCGTTACATGATGAACTGAGCCGCGTTTCATCTTCTTATTAATCATTTGAGGAACAACATTGTCATTTAACATTTCAGGAAAGTGGCGTCAAGGGTAATAAAAAAAATCCTAATTGTGAGAATGCTTAAGAATTGATAATGGAGGTGATTAAATGTATGTGAACTAAAAAATAGAGGGATCAACGACCCATTAATTTGATAAATTCAACTGATAATTTTATGTGAAACCACAGACGAGGTCTTCTGAACTCAACCAAAACAAACACACGTGGTTTTTTTTGTGTTCCTGAACCTCCCTCACTAGGCTGATATGTCTGCACAGCGCATGCGCGGAAAAACAAAAAAAACAATAAAAAAACGAACCAAGACCTGTACAAGCTGTGATCCGCCCTCCAGTGGTATTCACGAACTTCACAGAGGCACGTAGCACACACACTGACACTGTAATTACGTATTATTCGTTTGGCTACTTACGGATTCCACGTTACACCAGTGTGTCTGCGATGAGTTTAAAAAGCCGGTTCGCAGCGTGGGAGCTTCCACGTGTTGTAGTTTTTTTTAGAGAAAACTAGTTCCTGTGAGAGATGTTGAAGCCTCCAGCTGATGAATGAAGTGACGGTGAGTTAAAATGAGTTTTGTGTAAAGTTCAGAGTCATTGAAGAAAAGAATCTGGACAGAGACACGTTGTCTCCATGTTGTCTTTCTACTTCCTCTTCAGGCGGAGCGATTTCATTTAGCCCGTCCAACGGGTTCCTGCTGCTTTCAAATGCTCCTCTGCTGTCGGACATTACACAACTCTGTGTGATTTCAACTCGAAAACAACAAAACAACAAGCTCTGATCTTCCCCATTTACATTACTACAAGCTCACGTCACTGATGTTTCTGCTGCCGGTGACTGAGAGAAAAACTACATCATCATCCTGAGTAATATTACTAATACAGCACTGGGCTGGTGCAACACTTGTGACTTTAACAACTGAAGACGGTAAGACGTTAATTGTTTGTTATGGTGTAATCACATTTAAAAGTCAAACACTCATGGGATAGTTGTTTTTCTCAACAGCTGCCAACGCGGTAATTTGACCTGAAATTGGTCATTTCTACGGTGGCCCTGAAATGCAAATTAAAAAAACAAATTACACAGAAGTGCTGTATAAATAAAGTTGATTATCATTACCTGCTATTGACAAGGCTTGTCGTTGATGTGATGGACACACTGCTCATGTGTTTTGTGATTTGTTGTAGTGTTTTCTTATTTTTTATTGTCTTCTTATAGAACAGAGACTGTTTAGAGAGAACAGGGAGACTGCCCAGTATTAGATTGTGTTCACTGAAAGACTAAAAGAAAGTTGTGTCTGAATTGAGCCTCTTGTCGTATTGTTCACTTTAAATGACAGGTTGAGGGTCAATGAGGTGAATTCAAACAATATCCCACAAACAACAAAAAAAACTGCTCATTATCTCCCAATGTTTTTTCTCTCCGTACTGCCTCAATAATAATCTCTCCTCAAACAGCTGCAAAACGTGAATAAAATGAAATGTTGTCAGTTGAGGCATCAGTATTACAAATGTAGTTTTTCTGCATATTTAGTCATTTATCCTAAATATTATCTAGATAATGTTTCTGTTAAAACTTTTGTACTTCTTGTACTTTTATTTTTGAATGCAGGGCCTCTTCTCATAATGCAGTACTTATAAAGAGCTATACTGCAACTTCTATCTAAGTACAAGGTAGGAATACTTCACCTCTGTACAGCCATCTGTCTTTTTGTGAAGCAAACAAAGAGATCTTAAGGTAATGTCATACTTTCTCCTGTAGATGGCGATATCAAACTGGTATTTCACTCCCTTGCAGATGCACGTTATGTGTTACCAGCAGAGATGAAAAATGTAACCATGGTCAGATCTGTCACCACAGTCTGTGGCTGTGTGAATGCACAGCGATGTGAAGAAGAGCAGAGAACTTAAAGGTGACTTATGGTTAATGTTTATGAGCATCTTCAACCACAACTAAGGCTTTTATTGCACCACAAAGTGCTTCTTAATATGTTGCACTGCCTCCATCTGAGACATTGAGCTCCTCTGAGAGCAGCTGAAAGAGGAATCTTGCGCCTTCAGTGCATAACCCCAGTGTAAATCACTCCACCCATTCAACTTCAGTTGAAGTTATTTTATAAACATGGGCAGTCGTACCTCTCCTGACTGTAGTTTTTCACAACTTCAGAGCACCTGAGTATCTTCGTGCATCTCTAACATCATCTGAAAGGTCGACATGAAAAGAGAGGCATGATGCTGAGGTTGACTATGACAATTAGACTATGTGGCAGTGTAAAAACCAAGAGTCCTTTGTTGTGTTTCAAGAACTTTCTTTTTCTGCTTCAACACAGAAAGTAAATAGTGTTTCAATCTGAGAGTTTTCTTAAACAGAGCATAAACAGAAATAATGATAACTATAAAAGATGCTACAAATACCTACATGACAACCAAATACAGAAATGTGCAGCAAATAAAAAAATCTAATTAAACATCATTAACCATGTAGGGATAAGTCGTAGACTTTAAGAGATGGACGACATGATAGCTACCTAAAAGTGAAGCCAAATCATCTTGATCAGCCCCTAGTGGCTAGCTGCAGTATAGGTCATAAACCATGCCTCCTCTATGTAAGCGAATAAGATATGCGGCAAACTGAAAAGTCAAATAAATGTTTTCTGTAATTTTATGTAGTTCTTATTACACAAATGTATGTATCATTTTTTATTTTACCTTTAAGTTTGGTATTAATTGATGGAGAGAAAAAAGATGGTGGCCCCCACACCTGGGATATTTTGGCTTCATTTCTGTACATTGAGGAAATGAAGATTTACAGTCATTGATTTTTAACATGAGTGAATCTAATAAATGTGAAACTGCTGGATTTTCAGAAACATGAAATTACATTGTACAAAACACACTATGGAGTTTAGGTAATTTTACAACCACCCATAATAATCTTGCTGAGTGCAGGTTGGTGCAACAGGAACTGTGAGAAATCCTGCAGGTTACTGTGCATGTATGTGATGCTGCAGCAGACTTATGTAACCCTCAGCACGCTGCACTTCAGGTACAATCATTTGAGTGATGACAAGTGGGAGAAGCCACCAAACAACTCAAGCTGCAGGCTTGTGATTGTGGGAGTGGGCGCGTGTAGTGGAGAACAGAATATCACGGCCTATCTTTGATGCTGGGTCCGCTGAGACCGATGCGGACTCCCGGGGTCCGGTCTGAGATGCGGGGAATGATTTGCCACAGATTCCTCTGCATAGTGGAGGCTCTACCACAGACCACGTGAGAGGCGCATTCACACACCGGCTCATCCCCGCTGCTGACATGGACCCCTGGACACTCTCCACTCTCTGCTGCGCACAGACGGACGTGGAGGGAGGGAGACACTCTTTCTGATCTTTTCTTTTTCTCTTCTTTCCATTCCCCGCACATTCTCTCTCTCGCTCTCTCTCTTTCTCTCTCTCTCGTCTTCTCCTCTCCTCCTCAGCCCAAGTGTTAGTTAGAGAGGGGAGGGTATACGATGGCTTGGCCGTGCATCAGCAGAGTGTGCTGCCTGGCTCGCTTCTGGAACCAGTTCGATAAGTCGGACCTGTCCGTGCCGCTCACTATCCAGAACTACTCGGACATCGGTGAGCAGGAGGTGCGCTCCGTCACCAAGCAGCTCTCCGCCTCGGAGCGCGCACCCGGGAATAACTACTCGACCCCGGACGCGCGTAAGGATGTCGGCTCCCCCCATGCGCCCCTGGATGGCCCGGGGACCCGAGGATCGTTCAGGGCGAGGAGGGAGCCCGGCTACAAGCCCCGGGAGGACTACCATCCGCCTGGAGTGCCTTTCACCAGCGTTACGCAATACAAGCAGGATTTCAAACCCTGGCCCATCCCCAGGAAAGAGAACTTCCCGTGGATTAGTAACGGGGGCAGCAGGGCTGACAGTGTGTCGGACAGCCCGGGGAACAGTCACCTCAGCCAGGCACAGGCTGGGGAGGAGCGGGGCAGGGGGCAGAGATGGGGGGAGCAGCAGGTGGCGGAGGAGAGTAAAACCAGCTCCTACAGGTAGGACGCTTCCAGATGTGCGCCACTTCAGGCAGTGATGCGGCTCCTCTGGCCTCCATATGGCCCGGACTAACTGGATGTGAGCCCATGTGGCCCATTTGTAAAATAGCGAATGTAGCCCAACTATCCCAAAACAGATTAGGCGTAATCTGGATGTGAACCTAAAGTGGGCCATGTGGTAAATGATGAATATGGCCCAAATGGCACAAAACCACTTTGGCACCTTTGGTTGACGTGGCATATATGGTTTACTTGTGGCCCATCATTCCACACAGTTTTGATCCAGATGTGGGATGTATGGAATGTGAGCCAAATTGGGGCCGAAACAATTTTGCTCTGTGGGTTTGACCTGTTTCAGCACCTGTCCCTGTTTCAGCACCTGTCCCTGCCCCCTGCATGGTGGAAACCGATGTCTGCTTTGACTCTCATAAAGATTAACAGTCAATTGACATGGAGGTGGTCCCAGGACAGCCTGCACGAAGATGAGGTTTCATGAGATCAAGCTTAATTCTATGAATATTAGATTTTTTGAGGGTGTGTTTGTGCCCGAAGCACAAATATGTGCCTCTCAACCTTTCTGGCTTGTGACCATATGAAATAATGTACAGCCCCCTGTTATCTATGAGTTACTACCAACAGTGCAGCCAAAGAATTCATTTATTTTCCTTTATTTACACATTTAAATAGATTGAAGAGAGTAAATATATACCCTGTGATTCACAATAGAGAGAAAGAAATTGTGCATCAGTCAGAATACTTATCTCACCTTGCAAGCTTATCTTATGACCTGTTGAGTGGGGTTGTCCCCCCCACATTGAGAGCTACTGATTTTAACTCTTGATAATCGCCTCTGGAGATTAAAGGGTTATTCTGTTTATTTCACAAAAATAGAATTTTTTAGTTGTGATATCTGGACTTTTAATCATGGATCACTCTCTTAACTAGCACCAGAAAGCTTCAAGCCCCAAACTCTTGCCTCTCCTACAGATTCTGCATATTCACATGTAGAATCTATTGATAGAGATTATGGTGGCTTGCATTATTTCCTTTAGGCCCAATGAACCTCACTTTTTACCACAGGCTTTTAAAAAATGAGTGTTTCCAAGCACTCTGCATTGCAACTGAACTGATCTTCATGTGTAAGAAGTAGTGGAGAATCCTCACAAGTCACATGCCCTGAGGCTCAGGCCAGATACAAACTTGTGCCTGCTCTGCTCTGCTTCTCCGTCTCACTCTGATGCACCTCTCTTCCTCCAGGCAAGAGTACAGGCCGTGGACAGGGGTGAAACCTGCCAAAAGTGCAAGAAAAAATCCTCCAGCTCAATACTCCAGCCCGGGGACAGAGGCCACCGACGTCCCACGAGAGACCAGCTACCAGGCTGCCTTCAGTGGGGACTTCCACAGGTCCCTGGGGTGGAGGTCTGCTGCCCCAAACATACAACCTGCTGCCATCCCCCAGCCCACCGCCGCTGTCCTGCATGCCGGCAGGTCGCCCAGCGCCTGCAGCCTCCAGCAGAGCGTCGCACCTGAGAGGGCAGAGCTCAGCGGTATCACCAAAGGAGAGGTGAGCAAAGACAGAAATGTTGCTCACAAGGTATCAGTGTAGTGTCAGTCACTGGAGGACTGATGTTACTCACTCCTTCACTAACGGAGCTGTAGCTTCAGAGTGTCCATTAACAACATGTTCCTCCTGAAAGTCATCTTCACTCATCTCCCAGGTGGCCTGTTGCTGTTGGGGCGTCTCAGTGATACAGCATTCTGTCCCTAAGCAGCTCAAAGTGACCCAGCTGTTTAAAACAGGCCACGGACTATGTTAGATAACAGCCCCACGCATTCCTTTGACCTGGATAGAAGAAGCTTGATGAGAACAAAGAAGTTCTGTAAATGAGTAATGTGCTCCATTTTGGTCCCAAAATAAAACAAACCCATAGACAAATATATTAACGTCTATATTTAATACCCCTCTGATGGTGGCTGCGGTGAAATACATATAAATATAAGACTTAATGGTTCTAGTGATTTTATTCTAACAGAAATTGTCTGGACAGACCTTTCATTCCAATAATAACACATGGATCCC